AATCACTGACAGTTCCTATCACTTTTCAATTAAATTTTATAAGAAAGAAGAAAAAAAAGGATGAGATGAAATTGAAGGGTAAAGGATAATTATATATATATATTAAAAGAGGAAAAGATAGATTATGGCCTTCTTAGTATCATTTAAGCATATAATTAGACAATTTCCTTTTTTTTTTTTAATATTAATTAGTTGAGAAATATATGCAATGCATTTGCTGCAAATTTTGAAATGTTTCGAAAACTTTTTTTTTTTTTTAAATTTGGCCCATTCGATTGATGTTCAATTCTTTGCTTGATTTCAGTCAGTATTCTGCATTTATTTATCAGATGTTTGAAAAATGAATTCATTCTGATTTATGAATTTAATTCATGTGCATGAAGAAAGAAGAGGAAGAGAACGAGAGTGAATCCTTTAGATTTGAAATAATTGTCAACCAATGTTGACATGGAAATAAGTGTTGATATATTTAGTGATGTAGAGATCAAAGATCGTGCAAACAAAAGTAATTGGCAAAAAAAAAAAGAGAGAAAAAAGCGTTTAGAAGAAAGAGTAAAGAAGCGATAAGGAATGAATTTTTAAAAATTTCATTTTAATCTATGGAATAAGTTAATAGTATTTTTTTTTTTTGTAGTGGCATTTTGAGTTTTTTGAAGTGTGACGATTGTTAGGTGAATATTTTGTTGTTATGCAAATTAACTAAATGAAAGATAAACATTGCAATTAATAAGACATTAATTAAGAAAAAGCAAAACTTGTTTCCTCAGCAATTTGAAAAATCATTTCAAATTCAAATCAACAATGATATTTTTAACGGTATTTTTTTATTCCGTTTTCTTTCCGAAATGTTAAAAAAAAAAATGGGCAGTAAGAGGAAGAAATAATAGAAAGAAGAGCTAAGTTTAGAAGATTTATCATCGATGAGGGCACTTAATTTTTACGAGGAAAACAATTATTTCTCGTACTGCTCAGGGTCAGCTATAGAAAATGAAATTCATTCACCGTGAAATGAAATGAAGTAGTAGTATGAAGAGAGAGAACAGTATTGCAAGCAATAAAAATTTCTTCCTTTTTTTTTTCTTAAATTTAAAATTTTAAAGCTCAAAATTCTCAATATTTTTGCCATTTCGTAAAATTTGACAATTGCACTTTTTATTGTTAAAAATTAGTGCTTTTTGGATTATATGCTTAATTGAACATTAACATTTCTTTTTTCTTTTATATGACCATTCAAATATTAAAAAAGAGAAACAATTGATTTTGATCTAAGCAATAAAAAGTGCAAAGAACAGCTGAAATAATTTCCCGCATCTGCTTTGTTCATTTCAATTCATTTCTTATAATTACATATATACATTCATAATTAAAATAATAGCTGCTAGAAATAACACAAAAAAAAAAGAAAGAAAGAAAAAATGAAATAATTTGTTGTGAAAAAAAGTAATACAATTACTTTAAATACTAACTCTGAAAGATATAATTTTTTTGAATGCTGAAAACACAAAAATGAATTATTATTGTACTTTTGTAGTGTGTGCCAATTTATAAACTTTTCTGATACTCAATACGTTTGCCACTTTTACTGTTGCTTTTATTTCAAAAAATCATCGAATGAATTGCATTTTAAAAGACAATTCTTGAGTGTTAGAAAAAGGAGCATCATGTCTCGAGAAGTTTCAGAATCCTTTAAAAATTGTAAAATTTTTTGTAAAAAAAAATGAACTTTGGAAATTAAATAGTGATATTCAGATAGTGGCAGATGTGGTTATGGTATATTTTGGAATTTTCAGTGAACTAAGAATGTACAATAATTTATTCTGAGATAATCAGACGTCTTCTTTATTATTATACAATTGATAGACAAAGTAAAAGATATTTATGTCTAACTTGTATATATATGACAAGCATTTAGATACATTTGTAATTAATTAATTAGGCTATAAAATAGTTAAATTTTTTGTTTAATCTCTAAAAAAAAAAAAAAAAATATCATCTCTGAGGTGTCTCTTAGTACCAGTTCAACATTTTGCTATCAAAAATTTAAAGTTGTTCGTTTAAAAATAAGCTTTAAAATAATTGTAATTTTAGGTTTTAATAAATGAGTGTGTACTATCACTTATTGAATGATAAAAGATAAATTATTCTGGTCTATGTAATCTTTTGTACTTGTTGTTTACGTCTTTTTTGTTAACCTGAAGCTATCACACTATCATTTGTTCACAATCATATTGAATTGTTCTTATAGAACGTCGTTCTTTTTTTTTTTGTTTTTAATTTTTTGTTTCCATTCCATCGACTATTTGAAGGAATGATTATTTGAAGTGAACAGCTGAATATGCATAAATTACTAATTACAACACAGAGAATGAAAAGCGTGTAAAGCTTTACTCGTGTCCTCTCAATCCTCGACGTAAACGATCTTTACTGCATTTATCTTCACGTACGCCTACCATACTTTAACATTGATTTTCTCGTACGACTAACTACAATCGCTCTACAAATCTTTTACATATTTAAATTGAATTTCATTCTCTGTGTTGTAATTAGTAATTTATGCATATTTCATTAATCATTGGCTTTTTTCTAAATAATTCTAATTAAAAGTAATGCAATAAATATAATGTAATTATGATACTTAACTGAAAAGTTTCTTGATCTTTTGTTTCGATAGTAAAATGACGAAGAAAAAGAAAAAAGTGAAGACTATCTGACCAAAACTTTCAAAATTTCATCCAAATTTACAAACCTATTTTTTTAAAATAATCTGCTACCTAAAATTATTACTTCTATATTGAGATATGGAACAACTTTTAAAACTTTTCGCATATACAGATTCTCACTTTATTTTAATTTAAAGTTGCATTTTTAATTTAAAGTTAAGAATTCCAAATATAAACGGATACACATATTTCAAACATAAATATATTTATTTCAGAGCAAATATCCACTAAAAGTGCTTTAAATTAAAATTTGGAAATTAATAGTTAAGTAGATTTTAAAAAAAAATACAATTCGGAAGAGATCAATATGAATGGATATTTGATTTTAAAAACAATTGATATCAAGAATAAAGTTAAAAGAAATAATGAAATCTGATCCTGAAAAAAAAAAGGAAAAAGTGGAAAATGTTGGAATAAACACTCGGATCATTTTATAATTGAATTTTTGCAATATTTCCTTACATAAATCGTTTGTTAATAATATTTTTCGCATAACTAATAAGATGGAAATATGTCATACACATTTATTTTATCTATTTTGCAAATCAAAATTAAAATTCGGTCATCCAATGTTATACAAATTATTATTGAATTTTATTTCATCGTAAATAAGCATTTATTGATTTGTTTAAATATTAAGAAAGGAAGTAAAATAATTTATGAGAAGTGATTAATAAAAAAGTAGCACATAAATCTTTTTTATTTTTTCTGTTTTTTTAAAATCATCATAACTCTTTTCATGCTATTATAGTCTCAGTAAAGTTTAAATTTACTAAAATATTATTAGTTAATTTTCTAACTTTATATATTTTGATAGTGACATGTAGTTCGATACTAAACTTTTTCGCATTTTTATTAAAAAAAATTGAAATTTAATGATATTATTAAAGAGAGAATTCCATTTTAGCAAATATAACGTAAACTAATTAATGCTTACATCATACATCTATTAAAAGTGAATAATAGCGCCGTGTTACGAATTGTAAGTCAGATCAACATTTTCTACTGCTTTAGTAGAGAATAAACTGTTATGACTGTTTGATCTTTTTAAAAAGGATAAGAAACAAAGATTTCATATATTCCATCCAAAACATTAAAAATGGTTCTAAAAAAAAACTATGGTTGGCTTTTTTCTATCATTTTGATGTATTATTTAAACATTTAATTTACCATTTAATCAATGATTACAATTAATTATTATTTAACTCATTTAATTTTATTATTTAACTTTATTGTTTTTTTTTGTCCCCCAACGAATAAATTGTTTAACAGATGATTTCCATTCCATATAGAATAGTTATTAGAAATGCTGGAATAATGACAACAGGCTATCTTTGTAAATGCTTTTATGGCATAATAATAGGATAATTGCGCCTGCCATAAATGCTCTAACAGTTAGATCAGTGATGATAGATTGTTTATATAACTAACACATTTGCATCTATAAATGTAAACATTTTTGTTGTCATTCATGTTGAAAAAATATTCTAATTGTTGCTTACTTTCAATAACATTCACTAAAATAAATTTTAAAAATTAACCAATAGGATTCTTCCAATAGGTGTCTATGTATGTATGTATGTGTGTATGTGTGTATGTGTGTGTGTGTATGTGTGTGTGTGTGTGTGTGTGTGTATGTGTATGTGTGTATGTGTATGTGTAATGACAAAATGGTTGAAAACGACTGAAAAAATTTGTATTTATAAATGTTTGAATGGAAGTATCCTAATTGTGCATTAGCGCACGATCATATAATCATTTCTTCCCTTTTGCGCCTTATTAATGATGACATTGGCGTATGCACATGTATCATTAATAAGTAAAGTTTCATATTCGTCGAGAAATGATCTAAATTGTCGAGAAACAATGGTTTTGTTAAATTTACACTAAAAATACTTCAGATTATCGATCTTGACAATTTAAATGAAATGATGCGCTTATCGGCATTTAAAAGTTGGAACATAAAAAACTGCAGTTGTATGTACCTGAAATAGTAGCAAACTCTTTTTTTTTGTCATAAGAGTATTTTATCAAAGTGACTTAATTTTAGAACTCTTTAAAATTAATTTTTCTTAAATTTCATTTTTAAAAAAACGAAAAAAATTTTTTTTTGATTTTAAAAAATGGAAATGAAATGAATTAATTGGTAGCAGCAATGTTTATTTCAAATCAAACGTTAGAATTTTGATATGAAAATAAGTGAATACGAAATAAAATATTTTCACGCATTTTTTTTTTTTGGATTAGCGAATATTACAGGTCGATCGATTATTTATTTGAATGATTGCAATTATACTCTGTTATTTCGCAATTTCCCGGCGGTAATTTTTGTTTTAGAAAAATTTAATTTTTTATTTTTTTATTTTTTTTTTTTTCATCGATAGTAATATCATTTTCACTGATAACTGTTGCTGTAGTATATTTTGATTTCATTTCTTTCAACTTTTCATATTTTTGTCATCATTAATGCAAAAATTATTGCAGAAAAAGGATTATCAATTTTCAGCACTCTTTTTACGTTACTTCATCTAACGAAGGTATACTTTTACTTAGCGAAATTAAGGTAATACATGCTAATTAATAATATTATTTTATCTTACAAAGGTATACTTTTATTTAGCAAAGTTAATGTAATGCTTATTAATTAGCAATATTACTTTATCTAACAAAGGTACACTTTATTTAACGAAATTAAGGTAATACTTACTAATTAGTAATGTTACTTTATCTAACTTTATTTAATATATAACTTTATTTAATGAATTAAGGTAATACTTATTAACTAGTAATATTACTTCATCTAACAAAGGTATACTTTTATTTAGCAATGTTAAGGTAATACTTACTAATTAATAATATTCTATATACCATTATAAAAGGTAACATATTTAAGGATCTTCTACTGCATAAGATAACTTACATTTGTAGACGTAAAGTCAGAGGAATGGTATCCGAAGCATGTCACCGACTTGGACCATATCTGTGACAAAGTCATTATGTACGACCCAAACAACTGCTGTGGATTGGATGCAAATCATCCTGTCAGTTTGACAATTTAACAAATATTTGTTTATAGAACTGATTAAGACTAATTAGTACTACGACGATCTTTTTATTATCCTAAATAGTAGGAGCATTATTTTAATTAAATGATTAAGTTTTGATGTTTTACTTTTCAAAATTTTACAGAGTTTTAAAGATAAGGAATATCGGAAGAGACGAGAATGGTTTTTGAAAATTTCGAATGATTATAAACAGTAGGTTGCATTGTTGAATCCTATCACTAAGTGTTAATTTGTGAGTTAGAATTATTTTTGAATTCATTTCTAACATAATAATTAAATGGAGTTAATAGTTACTAATATATAAATGTAAATTTCATGATAACAGTGAAAGCATCTTTTCAAAGATTAAATTCATTTTGTTTAAATTTTCAACTATCATAAATTTAAGTTTTTCTGATAGTACAAACAAAGAAGTCAAATAATTTTTTTGTCAAATGAAATATTTAAAACTATTTCGCCTGCTGCCAAAAAATGTGGTAAAAAACGAAATTGTTTTTCATAGAAATATATGTCTTTTTTAACATTTTTCATTAAATAAATTTTCAAAATTGATAGAATTAATAAGTCTAAATATTAATTTCATAAATTTTTTTTTACTAGTGGCACACCAATACCACGAATGGATTATACAACAGCTGAAACAAAAACATGGTATGTATTAACTTTAAAATACTTTTCTAGAATGATGTTAATGAATTAGAATTTTAGTAAATGATAATAACATCAAAGTTTAAATATATTTTAATTTGCATTTGGATATTTCTAATGTTATTTAACTACTGAAAATTTTCATTTAACTCATTAAATAACTCAAATATTAATAAAATCTGATAGCTTATTAAAATTTCTCAGGTGTACAATTTATCGTGACTTGAAAATATTGCATAATAAATTTGCTTGCAAAGAATTTTTGGATAATTTTAAATTACTCGAGGAACAATGTGGTTATTCTGAGAAACAAATTCCACAACTGGAAGATATTTCAAAGTATCTCCAAAGTTTGCTTTTAAAATAATTTTACTATTTCGAATGCTTCTGATAACTTTTTGCCGTCATATTTTCAAGTAATTGAAAAATTTTCGCACTTTTGATGGTTCTTTTGTAGATTGATTGAAATAAAATGAAATATCTGAAATTGAATCCATCGTTCAGCTACACTTTCCAGTCTTTCATCTAATGCTACCATCAAAATTCCTGTTTATCTGGCGTTGAATGCAATTATTGAAAAATTAAATTTCAAATTGGCAAAATTGTCTAATATTGAAATAATATCAGTGTTATTCTCTGATAGATATTTAATTCGAAAAAATCTAATTATATATGGTTTAAATTTGTAAAGAATTTCAGCATTGCAAGCTGGAAAAGTTCAAATTGCCACCAATTCTAATCTAATTTAATTTAATCTCATATAGTGATGTTATCACATAGAATAATTCTTCAATTTTTTAATCTTTTCATTTTTCAAATTTCATTTTTTCAATTTAATTTCACATTATCATTTCTTTCGTTTTTTTTTTTTAAGCTAAAACTGGCTTTACCTTACGTCCATGCGGTGGTTACTTAACTCCTCGAAATTTTCTCACTTCATTAGCATTTCGTGTATTTTGTTGTACGCAGTATATACGTCATCATACTGATCCACATTATACACCTGAACCGTAAGTTTTGTTTGAAAAAAAAGAAAAAAAAAATTAAGAAGAAATTATTTTTAAAAATGTTATTAAATTATTTTTAAAAGTTTAGTGATTTATGTCATGAATTACTCGGTCATATGGCAATGTTTTTGAATCCAACATATGCTCAACTTAGTCAAGAAATTGGTATTGCAAGTCTTAATTGTTCTGAAAAAGATTGTAATGCTTTGATACGGGTTTGTTTCATTCTATCTTAATTTTAATTTAAACATTCTTAATTTAACTTTTTCATATTTTCTTAAAATCATTACAATTAGTGAGTAAAGTTTTTTTCTTTCTTTTTTCAGCTTTATTTTTTCACATTTGAGTTTGGTCTATTGGTTGAAGGTGAAAAATTTGATGAAAAAAAACGAAATTTGAAGGCTTATGGTGCAGGATTGCTTTCATGTTTTGATGAATTAAAGGTATAATTGTTAAATATTTAAATAGCGATCAATAATTATGCATTCAAAGTTTAAAAATAATTTTTTATTTTTTCAGTTTTCTGTTTCATCGAATGCTAAAATTTGTCGATTTGAACCAGATAATGTAATTGAAATAGAACCTGAAGTTACCAAATTTCAAAAGTGTTATTTCTATTCGATGACCATTAATGAAGCATTTCATAAAATAAAGTATGTAATTATTGAAATATATGATTAAATTAAAAGAAAAATCTATCTCAGTTATTACCAATTTGAAACAAAAATTTTTTACTCCAATTAGTATAAAAGTTTTTAATCCATCTTATTACTATATTTAGTCTTATTTCTACTTTACTGGCTCTTCATTTCAATCTGATTAAAAAAAAGCAAACGAAAAATCTTTTAAAAAAAAATGCGCAGCAAAAATTCTGTTATTTGAATTTTAATTTCTAACACCTTCTAAGATCTAAAACTTCTAACAATCTGTAGAGATCTAAATTTCAAGCACTGCAAATTTTGTGATTAATTTTAAGTAAATTAAAATTTCATAAATATCATTGTAAACTTTAGAAATAAGCTAAAGTTTAAATAAATGATTGTTATATAATTAAAAATCAACAAAAATTCGTGATATCAAAAAATTAGTGGAATAATTTTGACTTTTCTCTACTTTGAATTAATATTTTAAGAGTTAGCGATTAGATAAGAAGCTAAATAAGCAAATATTTTCAACCATTGATTATGGTATGCTAAGTAATTCATAAAAATCTTTACGAAATGGATTCATTTTCAGTATTCCCAGAAATTATCATTATTAAATTAATTAAATTTAATTTTAGGTCTTATATTTCAACAATTAAAAGACCATATTCATTTCATTACGATCCGCTTACACAATCAATAAAAAAATTAACGAATGATTTACATTGATAAATGTGTTTTCAATTAGATATTTGTATACTTAACAATTACCATTTGATGCACAAATGATGGAATAATTTTGTAATTAATTTTTATTTTTATTTTCTAAGCCATTTCTGTTCTTTGTTTCAAATCTAAATAAGTAGTATTTGTGATTGGGTAAAATTCATAATATTAATTTTTCATTCATGATATTGTTATATTTATTGCAATAAATTTGATTTTTGCTTTTTTTTTACTCTTTATTTGTAAATTGTATCATTTGCAATGGTGTATAAAGGTTTAAACAAATTGAACAAATTAAAGTAATATGGGATTAGGTAAAACTGTCAACTCTTAATTTAATTTAAGTATTCCAATGAAACGAAGGACAAATTTCAGTGTCGGAATGTTATTGCCCGAATGTCGTATAAGTGCCCTGTAAATATTAATTATTATTATTGTTATTTCACTATTATTGTTATTATCATTATTATTGTTAGTGCTATTATTACTATTATTATTTGCATTATTATTATTATCAATTATCTTATTATTATCTATTTATTTGAAGTTTCAGAGAATATTTTCAGCTTCCTAAAATTTTTTAAAAATTCCAAAAAAAATAATGTTATTTTATAGATTAAGTGAGAAGTAAGTGAATCGTAGTGAGTGAAAATAAAAAGTTAAATTGACCAATGCATCAAAAGTGATTCAAATTTTAGATAAATATTTCGAAATTTTAACAATTGGTTACGATCAACTAATTACATTTGAATCGAAAATTCCATTCAGAAATGGTTTCTACAAAAAAAAAAGTACTGAAATAATATCATAGATTACTTATTTCTGATCATCTGTTAACTGAAAAGGTTCAGTTATTATTCAAATTTACTGAAATAATATCATAGATTACTTATTTCTGATCATCTGTAACTGAAAAGGTTCAGTTATTATTCAAATTTACTGAAATAATATCATAGATTACTTATTTCTGATCATCTGTAACTCAGTTATTATTCAAATTTACTGAAATAATATCATAGATTACTTATTTCTGATCATCTGTAACTGAAAAGGTTCAGTTATTATTCAAATTTACTGAAATAATATCATAGATTACTTATTTCTGATCATCTGTTAACTGATAAGGTTCAGTTATTATTCAAATTTACTGAAATAATATCACAGATTACTTATTTCTGATCATCTGTTAACTGATAAGGTTCAGTTATTATTCAAATTTACTGAAATAATATCATAGATTACTTATTTCTGATCATCTGTTAACTGATAAGGTTCAGTTATTATTCAAATTTACTGAAATAATATCACAGATTACTTATTTCTGATCATCTGTTAACTGATAAGGTTCAGTTATTATTCAAATTTCAATTATTAACTCATTTTTTTTTTTTTGTTTCATAATTTCCACTTCATAACGTAACATAGCAATTTTTTTTAGCAAATAGTGCCACTTAAAAGATATATAATATTATTTCATTAACATTTCATAAATCGATATCGTCACGTTCGGTTGTATTTATGCTAATTAATTCGACGAAAAGACAATGTCAACTCTAAGTGAACATAATTATGATAAAGTGCAGTTGAACGACGATAATGTTAAATTAGGTTGTATAAAATTTTATTTAAGTAAAATGAAATACACGAAGAGAAAATATAATTATATTTTCTATTCTATGCGATGAATTTGAACTATTCATTAAATTGTAAAGTCGAGCAAATGTTGTTGTTAATAATGATTTCTAAAATGTTTAATGCTTGAACAACAATTTAAAATTTGTTAATTTTTTTAATTAACAATTTTTTTAAAATTTAAATCAACAATTTAAAATGGTCTCTCCTTTTTCGTATCAGTTCTTAGTTTACATATCGATTTTTAACCTTCATCTTAAACTATAATCTCTAGAAATTACACTCATTTTCTCAGAATATATGATTTAGTTACTGTTAACAGAATAACAAAGTTAAAAAGATTTATACTTTATCAGAATTCAATTTCAATTTTATCTCTTCCAAACAATCATTTAATTAATCTTTCTATGGCAAAATGGAATCTAACTTTTGGTAATTTAACACGATGGAAAGAATTAATCTTTTTTTTAAAAAAAAAAAAGAAAAAAAAACAGATTCTTCTGCGGTGACAACGGATTTGCAAATAATTGATGCAGCATATGATTTTTGTGAACGATTGAAGAAACGAAATTTGTTCTTCAGAAAATCTCAAGCGGAAGGTATTGAAGATCGAAAATATATTCAGAGTGGTTTGTTTTCTTAGTTTTATTTTTTTTTGTTAAATTTTTTGTTCTTTTTTTTTTTTTTTTTTTTGTTTAAGAATAGAATTAAAAATTCTTAAACATAAGTTTGATTAAATAGAATTAGTGCTGAAAGTTTATTTTCCATTATTTTATCATTTTTCACTTATTGCTTTAATTCATTCTTTCATTTCCAGTTTTTTTTTTCAAGTTTCAAACTATATTTTTATATGATAACTTATATTGTTATTATACTTATTATATGAGAAAGTGATTACTTTGAAAAGTAATTAGATAAATGTATAAGTCATTTGCTTCATTTAAATGAATAACTTCTTTTTATCAAGGCGAATTGTCTGCAAATCCAAAATTTCAAAAAATAAATGCGACAACAAATGATATGGATGAACTTGTCAAAGGATGGTAATAATTAATTTATAATAAATTTTAATGAATAATTAATTTATAAATAATTCGCAAACAAAAAAAAAATTATTTTATTAGCTGTAAATAAGTTATTTTATAAATAGTTTACGAATGATTAATATTACAAAGATGAAAAAAGCACGTAAATTTCGGGAAAAATTTTTTCTTTATTATTAAATAACTTTTTGCTATAAAAGGTAAAAATTCATTTGCGAGATTTTTGATTAATATTCATCTGATTGATATCGAAATATTTGCTTTTGTATATTTGACCAAATGAATTATAATTGATTTTCAATGATTTAAATTCATCTCAAATTATCATTTATAGTGTTTATCCTGTATATTCAAAATCAGGTCGACGCTACATTGTCAAAGTTTCACCTGGTGGAGGCTTAGAAGCATCATTGCTTTTACAGGTTCATTCCTTTTGAAATGTCAAATTTCAGAAATAAAAAAATAAACTTTATGGGTTTTATGATTTCATAAATATGAACCAAATTAAAATTAACGATAAATTTAACATTTTTCCCAACTAATTGCAGGCCAAAAAATTAAATGAAAATAATGCATCGAAGGATGTATGTTTGCCACTTCTTATTGATCACTGTTATCATCATATGGTAAGAGATATGATATATTCATATCAGCCATAATTTTTTTTTTTTTTTATCACAAAATAAAACGTAAACGAAGCTTTTATTGGCATTATTTTGATGATTAGAACCAATTCACACATAGTTTGAATAAAGCCAAGTCACACATATCCTGCACAGAGCCAAGTCACACATATCCTGCACAGAGCCAAGTCACACATATCCTGCACAGAGCCAAGTCACACATATCCTGCACAGAGCCAAGTTACACATATCCTGCATAGAGCCAAGTCATTATTTAAAGATCTAATTTCAGTCAAGTACCAATTTCTTCATACTTGAATTCTGCCAGTACGGTTCGTTGGAAAAGTTACTTGCAGAGAGTGGCGCAGTACCTATACATAAACAATATATCGCCAAAATTTTACGTGGAGTTACCACGGCGCTTTATTTCTTGCACTCGTAACTTCTCACTTTTCTCTCTCTCTCTCTCTCTCTCTCTCTCTCTCTCTCTATGATATTATGTTAAACAAAAAAAATTATTGTTCCTTTCTATTACAATATTTTCCTGAATTCATTTGCTTATCTTTCTGATAAATATTATCAATAGTTGTTAGATAACATCAAATAAAGACGAGAGACATACTCGAAAATATTTCTCATTTTTTAATTAATTCATCTACACTCAAATCAACAACCGTATCATAATATTTTATTGTTAAACAAAGATTTATCTACTGAAATCTATCCGTATGTAATTATCGGATAAATTACAACGAAAATTTTAATTGTTACTATCTATTATAATCCTTAATACATCATCATCATTATGAATCACTTAACAACTTTGATATTTACAATATTTAAACTATTGTTGCTATTTTCTATTTTTTTTTTTTCAAATTGAATATTTAAAACTGAACAATGACCTTTATCATTGAATAAAATGACCTGTATCAAATAATATAAATTTACAGTCAGTGCATTTATCATGGAACAATTTGTACAGCTAATATTTTGGTTGATCATCAAATGATAGGTCGATTGACTGGTCTTACAGGAGCAAATGAAATTGTTGAAAATGTAAACAAAAACAGACATTTATGTTTACCTATGTATGCTGCACCAGAATCTATAAATCCTGAGTAAGTTCAATTATCACTAAATTTCATCAATTTTCATTACTATTGAAAACATTTTGCCGCTGTTGCTAATAATTAATGAAAGTAAAATTGATTATATTTAAATTATTGTCATAAAAGGGCTGAATTACTACCGCAAGATATGTTTGCAATGGGTGTTGTACTATATCGATGTCTCACTGGTCGTATGCCGAAAAGAAAACCGAATAGAACGGTAAACAAAAATACTTAAGCACATTTGTAGTTATTTTCAAATTTTTTGAATTAAATTAAATTTTATCTCTATGCATAATATTTCAATTCATTTCTTTAGATCTATACATACATTATCATTGATAATTGATAACTGAAGTTAGTTAATATTGTTGCAGATTGATTATCATGGAGTAAAATCATCAATCAATTTACCAATAGATTCAAAAATGTGGCATACCGCACAACTTCTAATGTCCGAACGTTTAGATATGAGATTGACCGCTGGTCAGTTACTGCATACCGACTGGATTGAGAATGCTGCAAACACTGTCATAACTCAGATTTTTAATTGGAATAATTGAAGTTTATGAATATCGCACTATACTGTAAAT